TAAAAAATGTTTTAGTAAATACTGTCTTAAAGGGACTTGTCTGTTACCTGAATTTAAGGGGGTTTTAAAACATTTTGGTTACACAGCACTCATCTCCTTTCCTCTGGCAGTAGCTGGATCTCTTGCTGTGGATTTTAAATATTAATATGCTTCCATCCATCCTCAAAACAGAGGTTCCTTCTGTTTCATAGTTAAATGTTTTCTGTTAACTAGGCTACACAAGTGTCTTCTCCCACACCTACAGGCATGAAGTCTTTAAAAGCTGCAAACGTTTCACTACCTAAAGCAGATGGTAGAAACATCTATCAGCGTCTGACTGGCCCCTGCTAGATTTCAGTTAGCATCTAAGGCAGCACACTTGTTCTCTTTTCAGTTGTTAACTTATGCAGACAAATCTTCATTTCAATATTCTTGGCAAAGCTGGCCGGAGAAAGACTCAGCCCAAGACATTAAAATGCTCGTTTTCAGCTCGGTGTAGAAGTTCTTGCTTTAACTTACTCCTGTGTTGATCACAACAGCGTTTGGAGGAGCAAGTGGTATTTTGCTTGGTGGGCAAAAGAGATGGGGAACACCAAAATCTTCAGTTCGGAGAGCAGACCCAGACTCTGTTAAGGCTTTAAATAATGGATTTGCCTCCCTGTCAAAGCCAACTGGCACAAGTGCTAAAGGTTCACTGCTTTGTACTACGAATCTGAAGCCAGGCAAACAAACTTGGGAGGATCAAAAAATTCACAAGTTTGGGCATTTTGGTTTTCATCTTTTTTTATTTGATGGATCCAAGCCCAAGCTTCTGGAAGTTATTTCAACTACTGAGAGAGACCTTATAAAGCGTTTTAATGATTAGTAAGCTTTGAGTTAGTGGTGTTGTGATGAATTCTGCAGTAATTCCCTGTATGTTTTTTAGATAGGGTTACAAAAGTCATTGCAGGATATTATTCTTGTCATTATTGAGACTGACTGCTGTGGACTGTGGCGTAGAAAGCTTTTTCTTTATATCTGAGTTTGAAAATTACATTTCAGTAACACTGTCTATTGAAGCTAAAGCTTCTATTACAGAAGTTTATTAATCAGTTAACCTTCTCTTGTCCTGCTCTAATGGAATCAATAACATATTGCTGTTAACAGAACTTAAATTCAAAGTGAATTAGTAATTTTGTACTGAAGAAAGACTAGCCATTTATTTAACTTATTTGCCTTTTTTTCCCCACATAGCAGTAGTACTTTTCTCTTAGGACCTAAGAACAAAGTCTGACAACAACTGTCTTAAAAGATTGAAAAATATTTATGTATCAGATAACAACAATCACAATATATCAGCATTTTCAAAGTCTAAGTCATTTTCTGTTCTAAAACATAGAGGCAATAAGGAACAGCATTTACATACTATAAACACATTGCTCCCTGAGCAGCTAGAAAAGTTTAATGAGAACAAAATTAAATTTCTGAACGCTCTCCACAAGGCGAACTGTTTCATTACACAACAGCCAAAGACGTTTGTATAAAATAACGTTATATTATTTTTAAACAAGTTTCACAGAATAACATTTATAAACATAGGCCTAAATAATTGAAACACAGCAAATTAACAGCTTAGTCATGCTACAAAATTACTGTATACAAAAGATAGCCAAAGGGGATGTTAAAAGTGCTCTTGCTTGAAGATTTTTCCAGATGAGTCTACTTCTAGTGTAACCTGAGTCATCCGCTGGCTCTCAGGCCTCTTCTCACATTTTTCTAGCAGTTCTCAATATAATCACTGCATACATCAGCTCTTTGAAGAAAGGTCAATGTGCTAACAAGCAAGTAAAAAAATTAGCTATTTCCTATCACTAATTTAATTTTAAGGTATTCCTCTAAGGAATAAAGTGGATGCTAATCCTCCAAAATTTCACTGGGGAAAGCAGATTTCCACATGGCTTCCAAGTTTTACATGGCTGCTCTTTTCATCCATGAATAATAATGTGCTTACTCCTTAATTGGATGTGGTGTGATAGGGAAGAGCAAAGACTAACACAGAAGGACAAGCCTGTCAACGTTTTACTCAGCCGCTCCCTGCAGGCATGCAGGCTGAGCTTCACTGTTAGCTTAGACGTGACATGGTGTAGCACCATCAATATGCACAGCAGCTGCTTTAATTCTACAACCTGTGTACGTCTTCCACCACATCCAGTGCATAATTTTAAAGTGCAAATTTTAAAATTTAGGAAAACTTTACTTATTTCAGGGAGGTTGATTTGTTCTTGAGCACAATCGTGATCAATCAGGCAAAGTAACATTAAGCTGAACCTTCCACCCAGCTTTGAGCTGAAGCACTTCCTGACAAATGACAGCCACAGTTTATTATTTTCTTACTGTATTGTTTCATCAAGATTGACATATAGATTTTATCAGAAGGGTTTTTAATTATATGCTAATTTATCACAGCACGAAGGGTGAAAGGTGAGGGAAATCTTTCATTGTCGGTGTCCCTTACTGCTGTTGTAAGTGTGCTGAGACTGGATGCTCCATTCCTTCAATAATGATTTTTTTTTTTTTCATTTTGGTAGTATTTATAATGCAGTCCCCCAAAAAGAGCTAAAGAATTTGTGCTGTAAATCTGTGAAAAGAGCTGATGACAGTGGGCCACACAACACGCACAGCTCTACCACCAACTGCAATAGTTCTTGGACTGATTCCCATATGTATGCCTGTATTGGTCACTTAAAAGAGCCAGGAACTGCTCAATCCCTCACATCTTGTCAATGGAGCTGTGCTTCGTTCCAATCATCACCACACAGTCAGAACACTATGTTTCTATTCTGCTCTCAGAATGTCCCAGAATAGCCAGTGTGGAGTATTTGCTGTTTCTAACAAGACCTTCAGAAATGTACAGACTTATACCATATATGGGTACTTTAAAGGATCAACCAGCAGGATTACTTGGCATTGGACTGTGCACTCATTGCTCATCCTCCTGTCGCCTTTCATTTGAGGAGCTAACCTAGCCATACCTGCTATGCTTGTAGACACTCCAGGAAAGACCAACTACAGAGGTTCAAACACTTTTCTTGGTGGCCAGCACTAGGACAAGAGCACTGTATGGTCTATTCCGAAAATGTCTCCAACCACATAGATGAATTTGAGGTTTCCATTTGGGTTTTCCATTGATAGTATTCAGAAGTCACGTTTTGCACCACTCAAGCTCTAGCTCACATTAACCACACTTTAATTACAGTCATCAAGGGCACAAGCCAACCCCCTGTTGCCCAACCACAGCAGACGGGGTCAGCAGGGGCTGAGTGTGCCACAGGCTGTGCACTGCCAAAGCACGTCCACTTTGCCAAAAGTGGTTGGCTGCAGGTGAACTGAATTAAAAGAAGCCAGCCATGAAATGGCAGCTGACTATATACCCCCTGTCCCATTGTGCTTCTTGGCCAATGGTGCCTTTGCTAATGCTAAAGCTAGGAGAGTAATTCTAAAGGAAATTCTGTATGAATATAAAGTTGTTGATAAGGTAAAGCCAATGAGCTAGTTAACTAAGAAACTGCTTTCTGGTCAAGAGAACAGCTGCCTGGAAATAGTTTGTGCTAGGTGAAGAATGTCCACAGTTTTTGCCATTGCTCTCTTGGCCTTATTTTAAGTAATGGAACTAAAGCAAATGCAAGCCTTATCAGCAAGTGCCAATTTAAGTTGGAATGTTTAGGAATTCCTCTAACAATCAGAATAACCAGCATTATATTGAAACTAAACTGTGATTGTCTTATAATCTTCTACTTCATGCTGTTCTCCTAGAAACTGATTAGAGAAAATATGTAGTAGTCTTCTAATACAATTCTACCTGGAGCTTGAGATCAATACCACTGTTATCTGGGCCAATTCCACCTTCTTATCTCTGACTATGACTTCCAAGATTTCAACTGCTCCCACACCTTCACAAATGAAATAATTAAGAGTGGTGTTCTGCCTCCATCCCTTCTATGCCTGGTCTGAAAACAGCAGGTACACTTGTCATCATTTTAATTTAAACAAAGATTGTACCATGAATTAAAAGAAAAGCCTTAAAAAAACAAACACACACAAACAAACAAACAAACCAAAACACAACACAATAAAACAAGCTGCAGAAAAATCTACTCAGGTGACTTGATCTATTCTCTAAAGAGAAGAAGAAAAAAACCTCACTATTAGCATCCAGCAGTGCAATCAGGTATGTCTTTGTCATTGTTTAATGCTTTTCACAAAAAATAGTTACCTGTCATATAAGGGGTCTTTACTGAAACTGGTTACACTGCAATACAGTACACTTAGTAAGTCTTTAATACTTTTGTTTCCAATTCCCACTTTCCATCTCATCTCACCTTCCCTGCTAACTACATACTCTTTCTCTCACTGCTTACATCTGTGCTTTCATAAAAAATTAGTACCCCCAAAACCAAAATTTTCTATTCTCAAACTCAGGTCTTCTGTTCACTGTTTGTTTCTGTATTAGTATCAGCCTACTTAGTTATAGGAAAATTCCAGAGCTGAGGATTACGTCCACCAGTGACCCAAACGAAAACCACGAACCAGCTGTAGGCTAATAGGGCACATACTCCCATCAAAAATAATATCTTAGTAAGAGAAAGAAAAGCTAGCAGATAGTTTAGTCTCACTGAAACCACGCAAAGAATTCCCATTGCCTCTTTAAAATAAATAAATATATGTCATACATGGCCTCCTAAGCAATGCAGTTGAGTTCCACTGCGAGCAGCCCAATTCAAACCTTAAGGCCAGTAACAAGCGATCATCGGACCAATACCCTTTTTGTCCGTAGGTCCACAACTACGGAGCCGTTCGGCATAATGGTTAAGAGGACGAAAAGGCAAACTCACGTATTTAAAATATTGAGGGATTCCCATGACAAAAAACAAAGCCCGTAATGTGTTTCCAAACCACAACATTGTTCTTTTGGCCTCAGTGTTTCCAGTGTTAGGCTTGCACCTAACAAGCTAAACTGGTTCTACTATAATCCAAGAGTGAGTAACAAGCACCACTAATCAGGAATTAAAAACAGCTATGTATTAGTTTAGGTAAAGATCTCTGCTAGCCAAATAGCAGATAAACTCATCTCCACTGGTCTCTACAGAAGGTGTCATAAGCTTGACAAAATTGGTGTGCCCGAATTTTGGTAGCTAACTCTTTGGGTGAGAGACTGTGGAGATAAGCTGGTCTTTTAAAAACTGCCCAAAGATTTTCTTCAAAACAAACATTTATATAAAAGTTCTATGTGTTGAGCTATCTGGAGCTACTTAAATAATTAAATACCCAACAAGAAAGTGTCATCAGTTTCCTCCTTCTTCATCTTCTTCTTGTTTAATAACTAGGATACCTAAGAGAAAAGAAGAGAGAGAAAAAATCTGCAAGGATTTATGGACAGATTATGCGGAGAAAGATATAGTTAATGCTGATATACCTGAAAGCTAATCTGGACTGTTGGAAAGAGTCAGACTGGCAGAAAGAGGGAAGAGTTGTATTTCCTGCCACTGCTTCTAACTGACATGAACTTCCACATACCTGAACTGCTCTTAACTAGAAAAGCCTTCACAAATGAGATCTTCTGTTGGATGTTTTTCCAACTTCTCGAGTGACAGAGAATACAAAAAGGTACTAAAGCAGGACCTGCAAAGACCAGCCTAACTTGGTCCCTGGGAGATGCACCATGTCGGTTCAACTGCTCACAACCAACTAGCACAACATCCTTCTCTTGCTGGGCCCCTACTTTGTGCCACGTTTCCATGACGTTTCCATGACCAGGTTAGTCTGGGATATCTCCTCAATGATACCTAACTAGGACGTCCAGACTACAAAACACAATTATATTAATGTGGATCCAGGAAGGAATACAGGCACATCTCTTAGGGCTAACTTCGACGTCATGGAATAAAGCGGCATTGCACAGTAGCATCATAGCCTACACCTCCACCTGGGGTACTTTAAAAAAAAAATAAAAAATCAATTTTTAACTGCCATGCAAGGGCACCTCAGATTAGAGCAGTCGGCACCCATCCGTTGCTCCCTGTAATGAAGCTGTCCTCTTGTCACCATCCCTACACTCGTATCTTCCCTGCTGCTACTCCAACTCTTTATTAGTGTTACCAGTCCTGCTCTCCTCTTCATTGCTTTAGTAAAAGGGGAAAATAGTGAACAGCTAACACCTCCATTAACAGAAATTAATCTATTTAAAAATAGATTTTAATATTATCTCGCTTTTAGTCACTAATCAGGACATGCTTTAATATATTTTCATATCAGTGACTTAAAAAGGAAAGGACAGATCACAAATTGCGGCTTACTGCAGTGATGAGACAGGGATATTCAGGCATTTAGGAAATTTGCATGAAGTTTTGAAAACTTGCCCTTGCACCAGAGGCAAAACAGAACATATCCCTGTCTATCTCCATTCCCCCATATCACTCTTTTTTGTTGGGAAAACTGTGAATCAAATTTGCTGGGGAAACTAATTCAACTTGGCAGATGAAAGCCTTGGTTAACTTATTTAATGCTAAATCTATCAGTTCCCTCTTAGTTACATGCTAAAACTATTTCACTGGGTAACTTCAAGAGTAAAGCCCAATTGTGGACTTAATACTCCAAAATCCATCAAACACTCTCAGAAGATCCTGCAGCCAGGACCTCAATAGCTACTTCTGAATAACTCCAAAGAGAGGAGAGAGGAATATTAATTACGTGGGCAGGCAGATGAATTTCTGAGGTTATGATTCATTTTCGTGTCGTTGTCTTTACATTAAGGTGTTAACTCACACCAATGGCCTTATGCCCCAAACTCACCATCCAGCTTTTTCAGCTTGGGTACCCGTTTGGTTGCTTCTTCAATCCAACTGTTCTTCTGATCAGAGGCGTATTTCTCTTGTAGTGGATTGCCTACAAACACCAGATCCTCTAGTAATGGCAGCTCTGCCAGTCTCACAAACTCTGCTGCAACCACAAAGGTGAAAACACCAACCAGATTGTGGAACATGGAAAATACATCTGCACCACGCGTTCCTTCAAACTCAGTGTAAACATAAATAGCATGGGATACAACAGGATAGGGATTGCTTGGGCTTAAACTGGTATCAGGTGAAAAAACAGGTATGCATTTTAAAAGAAGTCTGAGAAGGATGATTCAAAGAACAAACTCCATTGGGCTTAGAAGTTAAATTCAATATTCTAACTATTTTTACTTGCTTGTATGAGTGGATATTTAGGGATTCTGTGCGTGTCTGCAGGCTTATCAGTGAGACTTAAAGCCCTGAAACATACAGAACTATTTTTCACTTGGCAACTTAACTCATTAATTCACCATAATACAGGAGAGGTTACAGGATGGAGAGATGTGGCTTACCCCAGTCTTTCACCAAATTATTTGACATATAAAGAACCTTCAGCTTCTTCATTACACGGATACCCCTCAGTTTCTCAATGAAGTTGTATGAGATCCACAGCTCCTCTAAAGTATCTGCAACTGCCTCCTGGAAAATGACAGGACTACTCAGGTAAGCGGAAGTGTATCTCCCTTATTCTTCAGACTGTCTCTTCATCCCCTACAGGTTACCTCATGGGAGAAAATACTAACGCATATTGGTCCACATTTCCTTTTAAGTAGGTCCCTAATCATGCATGACAAATACGGGAATTAAGAGCAAAGGATATGAAATACACTTAGGAGAACAGAAACCACAGTATTAGAATAAGACAAGGAATAGCTGGCTGGAGTAGTTGCTCTTAAGACATAGAGGGAAGAGGACACAAATTTGGTTGCTTGTGCACTGCAAGTATATGTGAAGTAATTAAACAACTATTTTAGAAGAACTTTTATACAATATGAGGGAATGATTCATTTCAGGTGCACGTATGTTTGTACCAGTCAGCCAGAAGTTGCTTTCATAATTCTCTCAGAAGTTTTTTAAACCAGCCATTACACATTGACTGTGCATTTCATGCTTAAGAGATACAGCATCTCTGAAGGTGGGAATAGCTTTGAAGAGAAACGTTGTGAGGGAGAAACATACAGTATCTCTTGAGGAAGAAAAGAATTTCTATATTCTTTAGAAAGAAGTTGATTGAAAAAAGTTCTTCTGCCCTTAATTCAAATGTAGTAAAATTGATCCAATTTTTTCCTCAACAAATTTTCCCCTACCTGATAGATTTAGTCCTGCCACCATCTTCTCCCCTAAAGCCGTATTGCTCCAGGTACCAGTTAACATAAAAAGGACAGACTCTCATGAAGTGTGTGTTCTCAAGACTGGCAATATTTATAGTAAAGAAGCATAGCCTTAGTGTCTTCAGGTAGAAAATTCCTCACATAAAAAGTCTGTAGGAATTATTTTCATGTAAAGCCAGTGTAATGTAAGGGACTTTACAGGCAGACAGCAGTTTTCAAATCAAAGTCCTGCTCATCATTGTCAAAGACAAAATCTCTCTTTCTAAAATCTTTTTATGTAGTAAATTGGCCCTGAATAATCTCCAAACATGAAGAGTGTTTAAACAACAACAAAAAAAAAAAAAGAGAAAGACTATCTGGAAATTCAGAAACAACGTGTAAGATGGTGAACAGATAACAGTGAAAGGAGAAGATAAATGGTTAGGCAGTAAATTCAGAATTCAGTCAAGACTTTTACAGGGAACTATCCCACATTCTAGACAGCACTCCCTTTTGTTAGCAAAGAATTGATACTAAGAAGTGCATACCAGTCCATTCAAGTTCTTTATGTTATTTCTTCCCAAAGACAGAATCCTCAAATTTTCTGTAATACATAAAAGAAAGTTTCTCATTAATAAATGTGGAGGTTCTTCAAATATAAGAAGATGCTATAAGTCAGGTAAACCGCCATATTCTACTTACAAATGAACCGCACTCTGAACGGGCTGTCTTAAGTAAGAATGATGCAACAGAAACAAAACCTCCTGACCTACACAGATCATCAGGAACGGATGCAGCGGACAGCTCAGAAACACGCTTATGAATACAAAGCTGCTCATGCATAGGTTACCTAGTTGAAATTCAGTCCAGATAAATATTGAATAAAAATTATTATCTCACCTTGCACCTGAATTCTAACTGCTAACTTGCTAGCTTTGATCTTACGTAGTTCATACCTCTTCTTCTCCAGGCTTGTTCCAGTCTTATTCTAAGGCCAAAGATTTGATTTCTGTAATAGAGGCAGCATATAAAGCTGCCTTAGGAAGTCTGATGAGCGACATTTCGACTTAGTCTAGCACCCAGACAAAACTCCTTTCCAAGTGAGATGTTCTTGTTGGGATTTGGTGTAATAGTAGTGTAACTCAAAGCTATCACAAAACACCAGTCTTTTTGTATAACTCATTTTAATTTTTCACACAAGCTTTCTTGCAGGTGTAAATAAGCAAACTGAGCTGCAGCATATAACTAGGTTAACTTTGGGTCTATACCTTTCATGAATTTTTTAACACTTCTTCTTAACTGCATTAAGGATAAAATACTTAATGATCTTGTTTTGCTCTTGTACGCATGATTGAAAATACACGGTACAATAATTAATGGCAAGACCAATGAAAGTTCCAGTCAAGTAACAACAGATACTCCATAGACAGCACAGGTATGGCTAGAGATTGCTATGGATGAAGGTTGATTTCAGATAGATAATTCTGTGTTCTATCTCAAGAAGTGGTGGGATGAAACCATACCTGATAAAACCACACCGGGCAAATATTCCAAAACAGGAAGATTACTTTTCATTAAAAAGTTGAGGTACAATGAGAATTCTTTTTCTTTTTAAACACAACAGCTTAATACACTACCATGCTCAAAAAATGAAGAATCGTAATCAGTAACTGTAAAGCCTGCTACAGCTAATATTTTCCAGAATATCCGCAAGGATCCTTATCCACAGAGCAGAGCACTGGGAGATGGCCTTTTGGTCTGGCCAGCTATTTGCTCTGTAACTCACACTTATAAATTATAAGTTTGCACTAGCTTTTGAAATTTGTAAGAAATGAAAGGATACTTATAAATACAAAAATGACAGATTGCTTAAAAAGCCATGCCTTAAAATTGTTTCTAACTGCTGTTACTATTTTTTATTACCCTTGTTCTGAGATATTCTATATTTTAAAAGAAAGATCTCCCTCATGGAACTTTTACACTCTCTAAAAGACAAAACCAACACTTGTTGCTGTCACCTAAAACATCTTCCTCACATGTACAGATCCAGGGGTGTGATCCTTTACACAGAATTATCTACTCAACATAACTACAGTATCAGCTATATACATTAATAGTAATATTTTCCATCTGAAAAGAGGGCAGATGCTTAAAAAGATTTCTCATCTTCCTCTCTGCAATAAGCAAAAGCAAGCATGTCGGAGTTAGTGGCTTGTTTTTCATAGCTATAAGCACTGCTTTCTCTCTCTTTCATGGAAGTCAACAGAGACAGTGAGTTCCTCATATTCTGTACCTTTAAGAGACAGACCACATAGTTTGTCTGGCTTTAGGATCAAATATTCAGTACAGACTGGATGTTTTGATTCTATATTTTATTAAGATAAATATTTAAGATGCTTTAAAGGCTTTTAATGTTTTATCCCACTAAAAAATTTCATTGGTTTCACTTTTATATGTGACTGTCTAATTATTTTTTTCTCATGATAGAGGTATTCAAATTTAAATATTACAGCATAGTTACTTGGAAAGACTACTGGAATACTTCTTCCCAGATTAGTATTTGCAAATTCGCTGAAGTCTGTGCATATTATGAAAACAAGTAAGTACATCAAGCTTCTTGACAGCCTCACTGGTGTGTAGTTGGAGAGGACAGGATTCCAGGTTCTTTGTCTGTCCACCTAGACAGACAATTTGATGGGCACAGAAAAGCCTGGAACCTCCAGCCCAAAACCTGCAGCTCTTTGCCAGCCTCATGCCACAGAGTCAAAGTCTTGAGGACAGACTATTAAGACTTCTGTCCCAAAGTCAGTAACCCAATGAGTTTCAAGGTTTCATAGACAGCTGCCCAAGAAATAAAAGTTCAGTTCCACTTCTAGACAGACGGTACACTCCTTTCAAGTATGAACAAAATCAAACCAAATATATCCAATCTTCTGCAAAGCGGAATGACATTTTTCCATCCAGGCCTACAACACTCCAACCTCGCTCCAACCAATACTGCAATTACAGAGTTACTGAACTGCAGACTATCTCCATCATGAGCATGAAAATTGGTCATTAAATCACTCTAGAGTTGATTAGGTGTTGAATATCACAACTAGGAGGGTGCTTTCTGAATAGACTTTTTTTTTGTTAAACCTGCACAGTGACACAACTGGCAAGGCTAGTGCAGGGATACATGCATTCCCACTAAACATGCATTTGCCACTAAGACTGGTAATTTTAAAGGTCACTTGTAATTTTCTGAGAGGAGGGAATTAAAAGAGGTAAGTATAGGTAGAAAGCTGGACACATATAACAAATTATGGTATGTCCTATCCAAGCAACTGAAAACCAAACGTAATCGATGACTGGCTTGTCACTTACTTAGGCTGTTCAAGTTGGCGATTCTCTCAATGCAGTTTGTAGACAGCGAGAGTTTCCTTTAAAAGCAAGAATAATCAATTCACAGTATACAAGGGATCACTATGTCAGAAGAGTTCCATGTCCAAACACCATTGCATTGGAAATAATTGTCTATTCTTCTCTCATTAGATGGTCAACTAATGGGATGTGTAAACAGACTCAAAATACCCTCAAACCGTCAAGACTTCTGCAACTTCATTTAGGTTCTGGTAAAGTGCCATGAGTTACTTACATGACATACAGGATTATCTTTGTATGCCCAGCCTTATCAAATTCATGGGCGTTTATTTCTGAAATGGCTCTAATCTCTTTCAGAAAGTCCTGATTAAGTAGCGCTTTTTTTTTTTTGTCATAAATTTTGGAATGGATCATAAATGTGACAGTTAGCTGATAAGACTCCAGATATGGGCCTCTAATTATATACTGATAATCAGTACATAATTTTTCTGGGGACGAATATCAACACAGAATCTACCCTAACATCTTCTCAGTTAAGTGAAAGGGATCTTTGAATCAAAAAGAGGAACTGTGTGTGGAAAGAGAAGCTCAACTGAGAAAAAAAGAAGAGAAAGCTGCTGCTTTGAAGGCCACACTTGAACCCAGTAAATATGTATTTGCACAGTGGACAGCAGAAAACTGAAAATCAATATAAAGCGAAGATAATATTTGGTTTCCAATTTGTTTTTAACTGAACTTACTCGCAGTTAACAAGTGTGGAGAGAGATTCATCCATCCTCTCTACAGGAGGAATCTGACCGTACAGTTTCACCTCCTTTGCCTCTGAAGCCTTCTGGCCATTTTTTTCTTCCTAAAGAAAAGACAAGGTGAAGAAGAGGCTCACTGCTACATGAAATTACTAAAAATTACTATACTAAAAAATTACTATGAAAGTAATTACTGTGGCAATAATTCCAATATACCACTAAAAGATATTGCTGAAATGAGAAAGCATTTTGAATACTGTCTATCAAGATTCCT